TGTGTGTGTGTGTGTCTCTCTGTGTCTGCGTGTGTGTGTGTGTGTGTGTGCGTCTGTGTGTGTGTGTGTTTGTAAGTGTGTGTGTGTGTGTGTGTGCGTGTGTGTTTGTGCGTGTGCGTGTGCGTATGTGCGTACGTGTGGGTGTGTGTGTTTGCTTTTATGTGAGTGTGTGTGTGTGTGTGTGTGTATGCGTGTGTGTGTTTGTGCGTGTGCGTGTGCGTATGTGCGTACGTGTGTGTGTGTGTGTATGCTTTTATGTGTGTGTGTGTGTGTGTGTGTGTGTGTGTGCTTGTGTGCTTTTGTGTGTTGGCCAGTGCTCAAGAAGCACAAAAGCGCAGTTGTGGTGCGTTCTTGGTTCCGGCCCGGGCCTTCTTCGGACGTGGGCCCGATTCCTTTCCGTCTGTGTGACTTTTGTTTCCACACGAAACCTCGCTGTTCGGTCAGGAAAATTATAGTCTAAAACCCTAAAACCCAAAAGCCCAAAGCCTTAAGCCCTACAGCCTAAACCATAAGCATTGATTGGATCCTTGTCGGACCGTATACGAGCCGCGAGGCCAACTGTGCGGGAGGAGTACCTGAGGCAGACTCCCTCGATCTGCTTTTCCTCCCAGCGGAGCAAGCGCAGGCCAGGTTTAGGGACTCGGGTTTAGGGTGTAAAAACGAACCATGCTTGTTGCTTGTTTTCTCAATTCCAATAAGGTTGTGGTAGCAACCATCGCTGTTCTTGAAATGAAGTTGTTTATCACTCTCGAGACAGCCCGTGTTTCTTGTTTTTTCTTCGTGTGGTTGCGGCTTGGTTGCGGTTGTGGTCCAGGTCGTCTGGCTATGATTATTGATGCTGTTCTTGTCGCCCTGGGTGCTATTACTATTGTTTGCGCTGTTTTGGTTGTTGTTGCTATTGCTGCTATCGGTTGTGGTGTTGCAACGGTTTTTGTGTAGTTTTGTATTGCACCAACAACAACGGCCGCAAGTACTGCTACTACTATTACTACTGCCGGGGATTTTCAACAATTTTTTCGCGGAGCCGTCTTGGTAATTTTGGTCATATTGGTCAGGCGGGGCGAGAGCAAGATTGCCAAGTTGGCAACCTTGGTCATTTTGCCCCTGCCCCCTTGCTGGCCGATTAGTTTACTTTTTGGAACCCAAGACTGCAAGATTGTTTGCAATCTTGCTGCCCCCTTTGCCCTGCTTGCCCAACATGCTTGCCGACGAGCTTATTTTTTGGAGACCAAGATTGCGAGATTGCTTGGCAATCAATCTTGGTCTGAAAGGTAAACTAGTCGGCGAGACCAAGACCGCAAGATTGCGTGGCAATCTTGCCCAAAAACTGTTCTATATTCCCGACTACTACTCCATTATTATTGCTACTGTTAGTAATTACTGGTGCTAGTAGTAGTAGTAGTAGTAGTAGTGGTAGTAGTAGTAGTAGTAGTAGTAGTAGTAGTAGTGGGTAATAGTAGTAGTAGTAGTAGTAGTAGTAGTAGTAGTAGTAGTAGTAATAGTAGTAGTAGTAGTAGTAGTAGTAGTAGTACTACTACTACTAATAATAGTACTAGTACTACTACTACTACTACTACAACTACTACTACCACTACCACTACTACTACTACTACTACTACTACTACTACTATTATTGCTACTGCTACTACTACAACAACCACAACAGCAACTACTACTACTCCTGTTGCTGCTACTATCACGATTACGATGATTGCTACTACTACTACTACTACCACCACCACCACTACTATTACTACTACGCGAATACTACTACTTCCACGACCACTACTATTACTAATACTCGCAGATTATGATTATTGTTGTTTTTATTATTACGGTTGCTGCTGCTGCTGCTGCTGCTGCTGCTGCTGCGGCTACTATTCTTACTCTTGTTTTCTTCTTCTTATGATTATTACTAGTACTATTACTACGACGACGACGACCACCGCCACCGCCCTTACCACCGCCACCACCACCACCATCACCACCACCACCAGCACCACTATTATCATGTTGTCATGCTTATACTTCGTGAACGACCCTAGCAACAGGCAGCTGCAAAGTTGAACGCGACCGCCCGTGTTTCCTTTTCCCACACAAAGTGGCCAAAAACGCTTGAACTGAACCTTGAACCCCGAAGCCGAAGATCCACATCATCCTATGGAAACCTCAAACCCAAGCCCTGAACCCTAAACCGTAGACCGTGGGCCCTAGGGCGGCCCTGCAGCTTGGAGCGCTCTGCCTCGCAGGTGTGGGCTGACGGAGAGAGTGGTCCGAAATGTCTTCTCATGTCCATCCACAAGGACGACTCCTGGCGTTTTCTACGTAAATTTAGGGCTCGAAGTATTTGGTAGTAGCCCGGTTATAGTTTGTAATATAATCCTAGTCGACACATAGTATGATTACTATTTATGGCTTCTTGTGGTTTTGGGGTGTGTTTCAACGGATTTTCTGGGATTAACCAGGTAGTTCTGCTGCGAAACTCCTGACGAAATTTTCGGGACACCCGGCAACCCCAAACCGCAAATCGAGAGTTGGATGCTTCTTGCAACGGCGCCTGTGGGCTTAGCAGCTGAGGACTACATCAGCAGCTTCACCCAGCAGGACTTCGGGTTCCTGCGGGTTTAGGGCTTCAGAGTCTCCAATCTGTTTAGGGGTTTAGGAGTTTTGACATTGGGGTTTAGGATGATTAGGATGTAGGGTTTCTGTTTGGGCTGGGGCTTAGAGCTTGAGGTTGAAGGGTTTGGGGCTTGCTGTTTAGGGTTTAGAAGTGGGGTTCCAGGAACCCATGAACAGCAGCGTGGCCAAATTGGTGATAATCCCTGATGCGGAGAGGGAGCCGGATGAGTATATGTGCCTCAATGTCTCACAGATTGCGGGGAGCACGACAACGTTACGCAAGGACCAGCTGCAAATAGCCTTCGTTGTCACAGATGTTGATCTGGATGCAACACTCGATTTGGACTGCACTCGCGGATTCGGGTGCCACTTGGACCTCTCTGAAACTTGGTTTTGGGAGTATGATACCGGCACCATCCAGGATGCGTCCAGCTCCAACTATGAATGTTTGCCCTGCCAAGATGTCGGGAACTTGAGTGACTCCATCAACTTTACGGTGGCTCAAGATCCTTGGATATGGGAGAGCTCTACATCTACCCTCGAAGATCAGGGCTTCTTTTTGTTGAAATAGTCTGTACATGAAGCAGCCTACTACGAAGGGCGCAACATGGGGTATCCCATTTCGGAAACTCCCAGTATCGGTTTCAGAGATGGTGGACCGAATCGACAGTCAGCTGCTTTCTGCTAGTGCCTGAGCTGAGGCGGATGGAAGAAGGTCCACCACAAAGCCTGAAGCGGACCGTAAACCTCTGGACTCTACACCCCTGAGCCTGAAGCCCCAGCCTCAACCTCAACCTCCCACAATTCGAAGCCCTCGAGCCGGCCTCAGGATTGGGCTACCGGTCAAACCTTCGTAGACTTTGGAGATTTTTTTCATGACCAGAAGCCGGGAGACAAGTTGCTCTGCTGGTGCACCTTCACCTCCAGTGCGCCTTAGAGAGGGATTTGGGTTCGGTATGATGTTTTGGGCTTTAAGGTCCGTTGTGGCTGACTTAGGGTTTGCGGTTTAGGGTGCAGGGTTCGCAGGGGCCGATGAGGGTTGTGCAGGTTTAGGGTTGCTAGTGTGCTTTGATTTTGCCAGAGCAAGAAGTGAGACTTTCCTTTGTAGTTGGAGGTTCAGAGGCAGCTGTAGGAGAACTTTTCACAGGCCACAGTGGGGAGACTTGCAACCCTACCTGCTGCTGCACATAGACCCCCAAGTCAAGAATCCAATGGTCCAATAGTTTGTTTTTTTTGGGAAGCTTACGATACAGTTCTTGCTCGAAATGCAGGATCATGCCGTAATTGGACCTTCACGGCAAAGCCATGAACCCTTGCCTCTCCAGACAACCTTATACCCAAGACCGACAGCGTGAGCTTAGCAACCCAAAACCAATTCATGTAGTTCTCTTAGTAGTTATGAGGGCGACCTACCCAAAACCTATTTGGGCAGTTCTTAAGCCCTAGAGCTCTGAGTCCTAAACCCTGCATGTGGCCCTAATTCCTACATTTGCCGTAAATTCCAAAACCTCCAAAACCTGACACCCAAATCCCTGCTACATGCTGAACTCTCCATCCTTAAGCTGAAACCTTATACAATTCCTTTAACCTTAAATGCCCCAAACCTCACAAAAGACCCTCGCCCCCACTTAGGTGCACCTGGCCACACTGAAACTCCAAGGGCCTTCCCTGAACAATGCGGCGCAGTGCGTGAGAAGTTGGCCCACCTGCGAGATTCCCTTTCTTGACGGGGTCGGGTTTCAGGCGCGTCCCAGGATTGAAACTTTAAGAGTTAGGGTTAGGGTTTTGGGTTTCAGGTTTCTTCGACTCGGGGCGCTGTCTAGGGAGTGAAGATTGAAGGTCTAGGGTTTGAGATTTAAGGCTTGAGGTTTGGGGTCTAAAGCTTCCAAGTCTGGGGTCTCATCCAGGTTTAGGGTCTAAAGGTTTGGGGTTGATGTAACACGGGCTACAGCGTTTACGGATTTACAGTTCAGAGACTCACAAACCAAACCCAGTACATCCCTCGACTTAACTTGAACAAGACTCACACATCCTTTGGGTTCAGGTTTAGGTTTTCAGTCATATGCTCTCAAGGTTAAGGGGCCCAAAAGGCCAGCTGAACACACGGGTTCTCGCAGTTCAGATTTTGGGATTCAGGCTTACTTGTACGGCTTGCAAGAAGGCTTTGGGTTTCTCGAAAACCCCCAGATCACGAAACGTTAGGCCCGACACTCCCCCCACACCCGGAATCCGAAAACCTGACCCTACCTGAACCCTAATGCACTGTTAAGGTTCCTGACGTCTAATTTATGAAGGCCCCTATCTTTGCACGGCCCATCATCCCCAAGGTCGGATCCCGGTGCGTAGGTGGTTTCTTGGGCCCGAAATGTTCGAGTTTCGGGTTTGGGTCAAAATACTCTTGGCTTGGGCTTATCAGATGTTGCAGAGATCTGATGACTCCGCTAGTTCTAAAACTCTCTCAAGCCTTGTTTAGCGGCTTAGAATGCTATGCAGCACGGGTTTGTCTGGGTACTCACAAGTTTTCTTGTATGCAGCTATGCATTTGAAGCAGATACAAGACTCTTGCTTATAGTATGAAAAAAGGCCGGGGAGAGCCAGAGCCGGGCCTGGGGTGCGACGCTTTTGGCAAAAAGGGATCTAAGCCTCAGAAGCAGCCAGGAGGGCAACGACAGCATCATGGTGCTGATCTCCTGCGGGAGCGTTGAGAATACTCCTCCCGAAACTTAGTTGCTGAGTCGGTAATCTTTAAACTTTTCGGGATTCTATACGCCGTTCATGTTTGCAAGCTTGTTCACATCGTTTTAATTTATAACTGGGCAACTGAGGCAATTCTGGAAGGCTCAATTGCTGCCACTGGTCTTTTTGTGGGTGTGATTTGGGCTAGCGTTCAGGGCTTGCGTTTTGACGCACTTGAAGGGTCATGATACTTCTGAAGTAGGAACCTTTTCTTGTACCCGTAGTGTTCTTATCCCAAGGATGGCCCCTAACAAGTCCCCTGAGCCTCTAAGTAGAACCCTAGACCTTGAACTTAAACCCTCAAACCCAAACCCCAACACCCACAACTGTTAAAGCGAGTCCTGAACCCTCGACCGGGGTTGAAGGTGCAACTCGTCTTCCCCAAGTGAAGCCCCTGATTTAGGGGCCTTAATAATTACATTAATTACTTATACTATTTTGAGGGTTCCTTATTCGAATTATTGTATAATATACCCTAAAGCCTTGTTGAAATTATTGAGGCCCCTACACTAGAGAGGGATCTGACGAGGGTCTGCAGAGAGCGCTGCAGGGCTCATCGTGTTGTATCTGCTTTACACGGATACTTTCTCGCATCCTGCAGAGACTCTAACTTAAAGCTCATGCCGAGGAATTTCCCAAACTCGAGGTCTTGTTGCTTCAAGATGACTCATAGGTCTGAAGACCCTCAAACAGACCCTCATTTTGTCGACAGCCTGCAGAAGGCCTTGGGGTGCTCTCCCACCTGCCTGAACGCTCAACGCTGGACCATAAACCTTGTGTTTAGAAAACTACCCTAAACCCTAAACCCTAAACCCTTTTCTGGGCTGTTCAGCAGGGTGTCGGATCCGACACCCGGGATCCCGAAGCTCTGACCCCTAAGCCGAGGCTTATGATGCCGACCGATACTTCCGAATGGCGGAGTTTGAGATTATGCGCCCGGCCTTTCCGGGAATCTACGAAATCTGCTGGTGTCGCAAAACAGCAGCGACAAACTGCTCCAGGCCTCATGACTTCGCCGTCTCTGCAGGACCTCTAGATCCCAGTCCTTCAGAATGAGGTTCGGGGTTGAGAGTTTGAGGTTGGGTTATTTCGGGTTTTGATCTTCTACTTGCTGGCTCAGTAGACTTCGTAGGTGGGTTACGAGCAGGGCTGTACGTAGGACTTAGGATATATTCCAAGACGTGGCCGGTCCTAAACCCTACACCCTAAACCTTATCATAACCCTAAACCCTAAACCTTAAACCTTATTTGATCTGCCCCACGAAGCCGAAGACCCGAGGTGTCTATGCAGGAGCTGCCCCCGGGGATGCCGTGAGGGCCTTGGGGTGCGATGGGTTCGGGTGCAGGGTGTCGGGGGTTTCGGGTTCAGGTTTTGGGGTGCTTGTCTGCCAGCGGCCGAAAGCGCCGAAAGCGCAGGAGCGCGCAATCGAAGAAGAGCCACCTCAGACGCCAAAGGAAGGCAGCACGGGTCAAGGCCAAGGCCAAGGCAGCAGCCAGCAGCAGCCGCAGAAGCGCCCGTTTTGAGGTGCTAGCTTTGCAAGGGCCGCGTGTCTAAAGTTTAAGGAGTTATGCAGTCAGCCGAAGGACGAGGGGATGATACGACTGCGGCATCAAATCGATGCAGAGAAGGTGCGCTTTAGCAGCAGCAGCCGCAGAAAAAAGAAACCTTAACCCCAAACCCCTGGGGTGTCGGAGGTCGGGCTCAGGCTTGGGGTGAGGTTTAGATGACCGCTACTGCCATTATTCCATGACTGCTTCATTATTCCTCGGAGCCCTATACCAAATCATAAAGCCTCAACCCTGACTCTGACCATATACTACGCATTTTAGGCTAGGTGTGTGTCGGAAGCGCGTATGAATCGCGGGATTTGGGCTCGGGGATCGTGTGACACCAAGCACACAAAGACTGTCACAGAAAAGTGTAAGCTCATGTAAGCAGGAGCCTTTGTCTACATGGGGCCGAACCCCCGCTACTGGCTGACTCAGTATCAGCTTGATGCAGAAGAGCCTTTCAACGTCTCTGTGGCTCGGGTTCGTTTTTTGGAAGTATGTTTTCATGAGGGTTTTTCGGAGGACGTGGAATGCTATGGTCTGGGGTATTTAGGTCTCGATCAGTGAAAATGGGGTTCAGGGTTGAAGGGCCAATTAGGGTTTTGGCTTTAGGGTTTCGAGCCCTGAACCGAGGCTGCGCCCGAAACCCCAAGACCCAACACTCTATGACTTAGGCCCCCAGCCCTAGAACTGCAAACTCGGAGAGTGCCGAACCTTAAAAGGTTCAGCCCTGCAAACCCGCAAGCCTCAGACAGTAAATTCGGGCGTCTACCTTCCCTATGCAGCCCCTAGAATCTTTATTTATGGAACTCATAGAACCGTAAACTCTAAAGCCTGAACCCGTCGAACCCAAACCTCCTTCAATCGAAGGCTCCCCTGCAGCTTTTTGAACCCCCGCTAGTCCCACTGGCCGTGTCTTCTGGTTCTATAAGGGTTCTTCACCGGAAATTTGTAGGGTATTGCAAGTCGTGTGTGGGGGTGTTTAGAGGTTAGGTACTGGGGGTTTGGGTTTAGGTTTCTGCTAGAAGTGCCATGGGACTTGGTAGCTCGGTGAGATTAGGGGTTATGTTCTTGCTTTTCTTAAGGAAGTCCATGGCCATGGCTTCAAACCCTAAACCCTAAAACCCCCCAAAAGATTTAGAAGCCCGAAAGCTTTCCCATTGGTGTGCAAACCCCAACACCCTACACAGCAAACAAAACCTCAAGACCCTAAAAGCCCTCCAAGGAAGTTTACGGTATCCAGCTCCACGAGAGAGACGAAGCAAGGGTGCTGCCAAGCTGTGGGCAGCCGGACCCGGAAGGCCACCCCTGACCTTTCCCACATGTGACATATAGAAAGCATATACATATGCATCTGAATATCCTTATGCATATGCATAAACGCATACATGTGCATATCCACACACATATGCATAAGTATATGCATATGCACATAAATCATTTAAAAACATCAACATAAACACATGCACATACATGCACATATGCATATGTACAGACAGAAGTACATACATACATACATATACACAGACA